CACATTTTTATACACGCAAATGGTTAAATTAAATCTAAGCACTAATTAAACATTTTACAATTACATCCGGTTGCGGAGTTTTTGTACTCGGGAGAATGAGGTTACCCTTTGCCGCAACTACCTCCAGGTCACCCTTGGGCAAGGTGTAGCACCTGTGAGCCTTGGGTGCCAACTTCCCACATAACAAGTTCGGTTGACGTCAGTAAGGGCATACGGTCGTAAAACTCCTGCACAAATAGATCCGCACAGGTGGACAATTTTTCATGTAAATATGTAGATATTAGTTTCAGTTGTACTTAGCATTTGGCAGGGGGAATCGTAACCTCTTGTAGTGAGAACCAGTGTGACTGGCCTGCCAACGGGGTGCTAAGGATTTCATTGGAAAAGTTATCAGTTACATCCGTTAATGTAATTTCGTTTTACATACCCGTAAATCAAAAATCACAATTACAGTAATGGGTATTTTAAAATCAATTGAAGTGTCTAGAATACAACGTAGTGCATAGCATTTGTTGTAGAACAAAAGCGTGAAGCAGAATCCAACATGCATAGTGTTGTAAATTTCAAAGATGAAATGAAAGTGTCGCCATTCATGTCGGTTATCTTTCTTTTACTGAGACATTTTTTTTTCTTATAATTTGTATTTACTATTGAGCATTTATATCATCAACATACTGACTGTAAACCGTTATTTCAGTTGATCTTGTTTGAGTATTGCAAACATCATCGAATTACAGCAATACAAATTATATCAGCATATCGGCATTTCAAAGTAATTATCAGATTGTGACAAGATATTCAATCCCATAGTGGCTTTTAGAGAAATTGCATTGTCTAGCATTCTAACTTTCATTAGTATGTCAATATTTTTGAAAATCGATAGAGTACAGAGATAAAAGCTGTTGATTTTAATGAATTACGGTACATCAGACTGCAATTTATTCAAGTGTCGCTCAGAATGCAATGTTTATCTACTCAAAAGATCCCGACGGGCACTAGGTGAATGCAATCAACATACACTGACATACATATTCATACCGAATAGAAGTTACCATATATAGAGCGTACTGAGTCATTGACCAAGTACGTATTAACAAAACATTCTCTGTCAATAAAAATCAGTTTATCTTCCTAAGTACAAAATGATTACTAGTATATTGTTAGTAAAAAAACATCAAAGTCACTATCTAACAGCAGCACTGTAATTCATTACCTGCTTATTTGCATACAGGAGTACCCCCGGTGACACCGCCAGCAGACGTTCAGCTCAGCGTAGAAACTGAGACAGAGTTTTGGAGATTGATTTTGTTTCAAGTTACGCGTCGATTAACTTCTAAAATTAGATTTTACTCAATTCTCTGAACAAGATTTGTCGAAAAATATTACACGGCACGTATTACTAGTACGATAAAATCACCAATTTATGCAGTTGTCATTCTATTAAGCGACAGAAGACTTAAACTCAGTGCAACAATCATTATGGTCAGAGAAAAATCAAAATAAATTTAGTAGCAAAACTGAATGTTGGAGCCATATTGTATGATGTTGTCTCACTTCAATCACTCTCTGACAGTTTTAGAGAGATCCGGCATGCACGGATTTCATGTAAAAACACATGCTTGAGCTCAACTCTATCATTCAATGACATCATACGTTAGATTCTGTAATGGCCACTGACTTGAATCAGCGAAACATTTGGTGCGTAAGAAGACCAGTTCGATTGAAATCGTAATTTGCGTAACATTATATTTTTGATTAGATCTAAAGAAATTGTATAATAATCTTTTGGGGAAATCAAGACTACTCGTTTTAAGAATGTCAGTTTGCTCGTAAACTAGATTGACGTGATGTCAGTGAATTATGACGGTGCTACACCAAATATACGACAATCGTTTTTAACCGGATAAACAATTGATTCACAATTTAATTGTCGTTTCACCTCTTATTCTGATGTGGTGGCGCAGTTTTATTTCGGTAAAAATTGGAAACCGGAAAATGTCGAATGTGCCGGGACGAATGGGCTTATCTACAAATAGAACATCTTTTCATTATTAATGGAATAAGATTTATTATCTATTCTTTTAGTTATACAAATATTCATATCAGGGCAATAGTAACCGACAATCTTGCTAGTTAGTTGATGTTTTACTGTACACGAGTTACACGGCGGATAGTGAATGTGCCGGCAGGATGCAAACTTCCGATTTTACAGTATGACTTCGGCTCTGACGATGGTGTTACTATTTTATAGTGGTTTTCCCATAACTTCCCATATTACATGCCAAACATTTTAGATGATATGACGCATGTTGTGTAGTATTGATGTTACGATAATACGATAATATGTTTAAGGGAGACTTCTTCAATAAAAAAATGTTTACAATGTAAAAATGTGATTGTAATGACACAGTTTATATTTGAAGAAAGATCAAAGTTGTATCTTTCATTCCACATGCAGAATATGTACTATTATTATCACAATTAATGAACATGTTCACTATATAATATGAATATATACTATTTTATTTACGTAGGATAAGAAGGGGACGGGAATAATGCATTGCACCAGCTGTGTCAATTTCATAGAAATGTCGCTGATAACAAAGGTACTCATAATTTAATTATACCTGCATATTATTTTATGATTCAAATATTTTTATTATAATATACAATTGACAATAAAACTGTCATGAACATCCTTTTCCACAATTCACAGCGCATAGATATTTCAAAATTGAAGATTCATTCCAACTGACCGATATTGCGCATTCTAGAGGCCACAGTTCTACTCTATCATATGCAAATTAGCTATGTGCTAATACAATTCTAAAGTACATCTGCTAGAAATCAATTGCATTTAGCATCTAATTCAATTAGTCGGCACACTTGATATTACTTGGTAGAAGATAATACAAATACTAAAATAGTATTAGAGCTAAAGGAAAATTGGAATTGACACACAAAGTTGGCCTCTTTTTTTTCAAACACTTCTCAAGACTATTTCAGTTTCAGACTCACATTTGTTTTAGTGTACTTATTTACTTTATATTATATAATCTAATATTAGCGTATTCAAATATACTGTTATTTTAAAAGTAATAAATAACATTATCAATAAATTAATGAAACCATACGTGATCTATAATTGCATTCCTATTAAAAAGAACTACATACTGACCATATGCTAACATCAACAATTTTATCAGCTGCTATGGATTCGCTGGGGAATAGCTTAAATATACATGAAATAGAACTATGTGTAGTATTTGGGTCACGCGGTCAGGGCATGTCACAAGAAAATAGGGTTTTTAAAATTTCATGCGCAGGTAATCGAGAATCAATCTGTTTGGGAAAGGGCCGTTAAGTAGCACCTAATCAATTAAAATAAATACTAACTTTAAGCTTACTCTTGGGATTAGAGTTGAAAGAGAAAGCTTTTTATTTCTTATAGTTTGGTCTATTGTATTTCACAGCTAAAATAAACGTGGAGGTACGAGGTATACATTAAAGAACATTATTTCAGACCACGGTCATGATTTGTCATGCGGCTAACTTGAATATTGTGATTACATTCAGCGTTCATCATACTCTCATAAAAAACACTTCTATTTAGCTGTTATTTAAAAGTCTGTACTTGCAATATTATTCTGTTTTACATAACAACATTTCTTTCAAACTCTATAGTGTAAATTCGCTCAACGATGTTAACTCTATAGTGTAAATTCGCTCAACGATGTTAACTCTATAGTGTAAATTCGCTCAACGATGTTAACTCTATAGTGTAAATTCGCTCAACGATGTTAACTCCATAGTGTAAATTCGCTCAACGATGTTAACTCTATAATGTAAATTCGCTCAACGATGTTAACTCCATAGTGTAAATTCTCTCATCGATGTTAACTGTATAGTGTAAATTCGCACAACGATGTTAACTGTATAGTGTAAATTCGCTCAACGATGTTAACTCTATAGTGTAAATTGGCTCAACGATGTTAACTCTATAGTGTAAATTCGCTCAACGATGTTAACTCTATAGTGTAAATTCGCTCAACGATGTTAACTCTATAGTGTAAATTCGCACAACGATGTTAACTCTATAGTGTAAATTCGCTCAACGATGTTAACTCTATAGTGTAAATTCGCTCAACGATGTTAACTCTATAGTGTAAATTCGCTAAACGATGATAACTCCATAGTGTAAATTCGCTCAACGATGTTAACTCTATAGTGTAAATTCGCTCAACGATGTTAACTCTATAGTGTAAATTCGCACAACGATGTTAACTCTATAGTGTAAATTCGCACAACGATGTTAACTCTATAGTGTAAATTCGCACAACGATGTTAACTTTATAGTGTAAATTCGCTCAACGATGTTAACTCTATAGTGTAAATTCGCTCAACGATGTTAACTGTATAGTGTAAATTCGCTCAACGATGTTAACTGTATAGTGTAAATTCGCTCAACGATGTTAACTCCATAACTCAATCTGAAATCATTTTAAATGTTAAGTATTTGTCATCATTATCATTGATTATAATAACGTACACCGCTCGTTGTTGAAACGCTGCATTCTAATTGGTCGATCGGTACCACGTGCAGCCAATAACAGGGCGGTGTTAAAGGTCAGGTGTCAGGTATGTGTCAATTTTTTTGAAATAAAATTGCGCAATTAAAATTTAAATAGAATTGATGGACACTATGACACAACCCTATGACAGTGACTGATAATAATTCATAAATATATGCAGTTAGAAAAAACAGCATAATTTGTCGTGTGTCTCTCGCTATTGAGTGTAAGAAATACGATACAAATTGGGTGACTGGCCATCAATCAATACCCGAATAATTTATTATGCACATATAATAATAATCTATAGACTTTACACTATGCAATTGTTTTATACTGATTCTTAGTATTACGTAATGAATCAATAAATGGTATCGGTATAATTGTTACTGGGAGAAAACGAAACAAAAAACTTGCATGTAAACTTACCATATCATTAATCTGACTCAGGTAAAGTTCAAACGATATTGTTATATTCGACGATTCTTCAAGGACTGGACGTACAAGTTTATTATAACTGCTGTTAGAAAATACATCGTCTACGAGTCTTAAATGTTCCGGTGATGCCCGTACATCTGTGAAAAAAGCGACAAACAAAACAAATTAGAAACCACCATAAGTAGTTACTGAGCACAACTCTCATCTATATATATATATATATATGAAATACGACGAATTACCATTCGCCTTAAGCAGGTACTGAGTAGAGGTCGCCATGAGAGAAACACGGCACAGTTATTTAAGTTTTAAGGAGTGCGGGGAAATGCAATTCCGATAGGCTAATTTCCTGTACGCTTTGCGAGTAGATTTGTACTTTTCATGACATTATGGTTGAGTGCGTCAATGCGCAACTTACAACTTACAATACAATCGTCTCAACATGGCGCGAACAAGAAATTATACATATAACACTACACAAAAGATGATATTTGTTCAAAACGTGCTAAAATAAAATATATTTTCGTGTCAATAAAAAAATGAATGTCTACTGGTATACGCCGTTGCATTGGTCTTAATCTTGTGACCCTGTGATAACACAATCGATAGTGCCACGCATTAATGGTAAATGTTGTCTTGGAAACGAAATGGGTGGCTGACGACTTGGTTGTGTATTACAAACGCGTTAGATTAAGCCGAAGGTCATGAATTAATTATGATGCACATTACAAATTGGTTGGCAACCACATGAGTCATATTATATATTTCAAGGTACATATATACCTTTGAGATATCGGTATGGCATGGTTTTTATATATGGAACACCGATGATGCCTTATATTGCTGTATATTATTCGCGTACATCGTTATATGCTTGTATAACATATACTAACGTGATTATATGATAGTCTGTTCTCATTATTTTATACACGAATATCGTTATATTGTTGTTATATGTCAACATCAGTATATGTTGGCATATCGTTAAGTGGTATAATGTCAATAAATATCATACGCTAACACCATTATATGATTTGTAACATTATTCTATAACATTCTAACATGATGATGATGATGTTGTATTCATATTACATTATATAGTAAAATCGTTATATGGTTGTGTAACATATTTATCTTATATGTCAACATCAGTATATGTTTGCGTAACTAGGGGGATTCACCGTCAGTTGACAAGCACCTATGCGGCCCCAATTTGAGTGGAGATATTATTTGTGAACATAGAACACTCTTTACACTATCCCGATTGAATTCTGGGAGAGGCACGAGGCGTAAGATGAAAGGTGGTATACTTGGTACTACCGTACATGGACTGCATGCTAGTTTGTTTAGAAATTTTGTTTGGCGGATATAAAATATTGTAGTGATGGGTTCTCATTGGCGCTAAAAGAACTTCTGTCTCAACCAGAACAGTTTAAAAAAACAACGATTGAAAAGGTGTCTATCACGACACGGACATGACATTAATGTTCGTGAACTGAGTTCTCATCTGTTCATAACATTTAAAGCGCATGCATGCACAAGCGCTTCGCAGTCGACTTTACATAATAAATAACTTATAATAGTATTATATAAGATTGAATGAGCCCGCCACCCGATTATGACGTTAACATATAATTATTTATATATCCATATAGAAACATATAGACACGTTGGCATATAATATAACTATTAGCATATCATATGATGACCTCACACAATCATACAATGGTGTTAGCATATAATAAAGTTACATAACTATATAATGCCGTATGCATATAATATAATGCGGTTCTATCACTATGTAATGATGCTAATATATAATATAATGCGGTTTCATCACTATATAATGGTGTTAGCATATAATAAAAAAGGAGTTACACTTCTATATAATGCCGTATGCATATAATATAATGCAGTTTCATCACTGTATATTGGTGTTAGGATGCACTATAATGACGTTACATCATTATATAATGGCGTATGCACATAGTATAATGTCGTTATGTCAATATATAATGCCGTAAGAATATAATATAATGACATTACATCAATATATGAACAAGTAGTGATTTGAATGGCTAATAAAGCCTTTAAGGGACAGCAAATATATTGCCAGAGTCAGATGTATATTATTATTTGGAAGCATTGCGTTTTTTGGAGCACGGTCTGAAATTTGTGTTCGTGATATTTGTCTTGTTTTCTCATAATATATTTTCATTGAGACACAGCATTAGTGAACATATCACATTGATACATGCCACTATTGAATATAACACATTGAATTACCTATCATTGTTATACATGCACATTGAGACACAACATTAGTGTACATGTCACATTGTTATACATGACACATTGAAACACAACATTAGTGTACATGTCATATTGATACACGCCATTCCTGAATATGGCACATTGAGGTACCTATCATTGTTATACATGACACATTGAGACACACCATTAGTGAACATGCCACATTAAACAAGCCATTCTTGAATATGACACATTGAGATACATCTCATCGTTATACATGACACATTGAGACAAAGCATTAGTGTACATGTCACATTGATACGCGCCATTCCTGAATATAACACATTGAGATACCTTTCCTTGTTATACATAACACATTGAGACACAACATTAGTGTACATATCACATTGAGATATGACATTTTTGAATATAACACACTGAGTTACATAAAAGTAAGTGTTTTATGTTATTTACGTTTTATTACCAAATATCCTTGAGAAAGATATCATGCAGTAAAGCCTGCAGCCGCTCTACATTGTACAATATCGCCAAGAAAACCATCAAATCACGTGACAATAATTAGTCAATTACATTACAAGTCAATTACCATCAAAGAGGGTTCAGTCATATAATACCGTTGGGATGAGACATGTTTGTCTCAATTATACGTTGTCATTATTAGTGTTTGTTATATAATGATAGATCGCTCAGCATATTCCATCCACACAAAAATTGCTTATGAGAACATAACCATGTTTGTATTAGAAGAATTGTGTGACCCCGTTTTATAAAAGATCAATATGTGGGAATAAAACTGAATAAACACAATAAAGAATGATGTATGCAATGTTGACAATGTACAAACAATAACATGACAGTATTTATTATTTCATTTATTATTACTGAGTGCTTCATTCGCAATAAAACAGATATATTATGACCTCTAAAAACGTTCAATAACGGGGATGTAAAATATACCGTTAACTTATATATATATATATATATCATAATCACTGTGCCATTCAGTAATTCATGAACTATTCTATTTCACATTAACATTGTCTGTCGGACAACTCGTATACACATTGTTTGGTAGATGACTCATATACACATTGTTTGGTAGATGACTCATATACACATTGTTTGGTAGATGACTCATATACACATTGTTTGGTAGATGACTCATATACACATTGTTTGGTAGATGACTCATATACACATTGTTTGGTAGATGACTCATATACACATTGTTTGGTAGATGACTAATAAACACATAGTTTGGTAGATGACTCATATACACATTGTTTGGTAGATGACTCACATACACATTGTTTGGTAGATGACTCACATACACATTGTTTGGTAGATGACTCATATACACATTGTTTGGTAGATGACTAATATACACATTGTTTGGTAGATGACTCATATACACATTGTTTGGTAGATGACTCATATACACATTGTTTGTTAGATGACTCATATACACATTGTTTGTTAGATGACTCATATACACATTGTTTG